CACACATTTCAAACTTTATGGTTCCTAAGTTATGTTTACATTTAAATAGAGACCAAATAATCCTAGAAAATAAGAATAAGCTGTTCAGATGACTGTGATCCCTTTCAGGGTGGAACAAGGTATTTCTGTCAAACTTGTTTCAGTAAGATAACAACTAGCTCAGACATTCCAGTTTCTTTACAACATATGGCACTGCAAATGAAGATTGAACTGTGACACGTGTACTTGACTGAAGATATTAAAAGCATTAATTTGATAAAGCAGGGCTTTAACAAACTATGGGAATTTAAAATTAATAAAGGCTTATTAATTAATTTAAGATTATTTAAATTAATTAATAATTAAATCCGAAGTTTGATCAGGCTATTATACTGTATTGTTTAAAACAACTAGTAGCATGTGCTGTTAGGAGCTCCTATAAACATTTTGCATGACAAACACGTGTAGCCTACTTTAAAGACACTTGCTGAAGGAAAAACATATTTTACACATTTAACTGATGTTGTGAAGTTTTCTTAGTAATATGTGTAGGTCAGCTCCCAGCAGAAAAAAAAAACAATAATATATATGAAAGGTTAGTCAAGATAAAGACTTTATTGCCACACAACTTTCACGGGGTAACTTTTTTTAATGTACTTATTTACTCAAATTAAAGGTATGAAAGCCCATTACTGCCAGAAAAGGGAAACCAGTTAGGAACAAAAAATTATTATCTCATTAATGTCACTAGCTAAGTCAAATTTAATGAGATAATTAGACAGATGTTGAGTTGCACATTATTTAATCATTTTGATCAGTGAGTTTCAACTAATTTTATCTGATATTTTAGAACATAAAATACTAATAGTTATAACCTATATTTGACCTGCTAGTGTTTTTGGTATTTCCTGGGCTTGAATCTGGTTTTGTGTTGTATCAGGGCTCTCACTGTCTTTAGTGTTGTCTTTGCAGGTCTTGTGTTAAAAATGTGTCTGAAAATATGTAATTTAATCGAGACTTCCACGACCTTAACTGGCACTGAATCAATTCCTCCAGAATGTTTTTAAATCTGTGTTTTACTGTGAATACAAACTCGATACTATTTTTTTATTATTATGTCAGTAAAATTACAAAAATCTTCCTAAAAGCTGCATGCCGGTGTTCCTCTGTACCGTCTTGGTATCTTTGCTTTGATCAGGTGCTTTGTTCTGATTTTTCTTCCGCTTGGTTTCTTCTTTGTTCTGTTTTAAAGTGCATAATTTTCCTACAGCTTCTGTGACAATAAGTATGTGATAGTTTGTCAGATGTTTGCAAATCTAGCATTAAGAAGAGTCTGGGGGTGGACTGATTATTGGTTTCCTGATACATTAATATACAGCAGCACAACTCAGACTGTTTGTCCATTATGCAGAAATCACATCTGAATTTATAGAACAATTTTAAAAACTTTCTTTCATCTATTGTGTGAATATGGATTTACTTTGAAAACTTCTCAAACATCTGAGCTTCCTGTTAGGCCACCAAATCTCCTCTGATGGTTCTCGTATGTCTGTGTTGGAGTTATCTTGACAAAAGTCACAATAATATAATCAAAATACAAAATATGTCAGTTTATCTGCTGTTGTTTCTGCCACAGTAACTTGCACTTGATATCAATTTCTGGAGGTCTGTGATAGTTTTTATGTACTTCTGAAAACAGAACTAGTACTTATCTGATCCTTTTGTTGTTCTCTTTTCACAAAATTTAAATGTAAAAGTGAAAAGGCATATTTTGTTTTATCAGTGATATCCTGAATCCGTCCATCCTTAGCACAAACGTTAGCTCCCAGTAAGTATCTCCATCCTGCATGTTAGGTTTAGAGGAATAGTGACTTTGCATGAAATTAGAAGAGTAGATGTAGCCGCTGTAGCAGCTTCAGCCAAGCTGTAGCATGAGCGCTAAAATCCAATTCTTCCATTAGCTGATGCAGACTGTGTTATTAGCCAATTGTTTTTATGGTGGATTTTAGTTTCGTCTGGGTTTAACCAAGCTGAGCATGAACACTGGAACCATGGGAGCACCTTAACATCTACATGATGGTTTACATTAAGTTTATGTGGCACACAGCTAAAGACATTGTCACTGAACTAGTTTAACTTATAGAACTACAAACAGTTTAACGCAACATGTTTTCCTGCTGGTTTCTAACTGGTGTTGTGCCGCGCAGCTGTGTCTAATGGAAATAGCAGTTTATTATTATAGTTATCTATCAGTAGCAGCTAGTTCAGCCTAATTTAGCACAAGTCCGTGTAGCTGCTGAAATACTGGCATGTTTTATTAGCTAAGTGATATTTTTGTTGTTATTAGCCACTGCAGGCATTACGCTAGTTTCATCTAGTACTGACAGGTATTGTTGTAGTTTTTTGTAACTGGTGTTTATAAAATTAGCTTAGCCTAGCTTAATATGTTAGCCAGCATAACTAAAGATAGTATGCTAAATGTTTTTTCCATATTTTGGGATTTATTTGGTAGTTAGCAATAGATTTATTCAACATCATGCTAGTTGGTATAAAAATGAATGTTATGGTTTGTTGTTTTGTTTAGTTTTATTTTGTTTTGGGGGTGGGACAAGTGTTCATATGTTTAAACGTGATTAGCCAAGCTCAGAGTTGATTAGGATGTTAAACACATAGGGGGAAACTGCCAATGAGATTTAAAAAAGAAAATACAGAAGACACTGATAGCTGTCAGTTTGTCCCTGAGTTCCAGCCTTTTTGCAAAGCTAGGTTCATCCTGGATGCGTACTTAGACCACGGTGAAACTGAACCATCAGAAAAGATTTTAAAATGTCTGACTGTTTAAACTCCTCAGATTTCACTGCTGATTGTGCGTCAGGTGTTACTGTCAAGTATCAGGTGTGCTGTATGAACTCTGCTTCTACTTTGGCGTCCTGAATCTGAGCCGCAAAAAAGCGGAACATCACTGTCATCTGGCTGCTGTTTCTCTTCTTTGTTTTTGATCTCTGTTCTTGATGTTTTTGCACCATGATAACATCTGTCTGGGACTGTATTTTATGTTTGTTAAATGATCTAATACAAATAAACATAGTTTTCCTTGTCTTTCATGTGTTCAGCATTATGGTATATTTTCAGAATTACTGGTAAAAACAACCTTGAGACATTACATGCACCTGTTTCAACCATGCAATTATCTATTCAACCAATCACATGGCAGCAACTTATTGCTTTTAGGTATGTAGACATCGTGACAATGACCTGCTGAAGTGCTTGGTTGTTGGTGCTAGAGAGGCTGGTCTAAACTTGAAGCAACTGGGCTCCAGCAGCAGAAGACCTCACATGTACCACTTTTGTTCACTAATAACAGGAAGCTACAGAGAGGCTACAGTTTACACAGACTCACAAAAACTGGACAACAGAAGACAAAAAAACGTTTCCTGGTCTGATGATGATTCCTGCTAGTACAATCAGATGGTAAGTTTAGAGTTTGGTGAAAACAGCCATTATGAAGTCATTTATCAATCCTGCCTTGTACCAGTATTTCAGACTGCTGGTGGTGTGATGGTGTGAAGGATATTTTATTGACCCGCTTTTGTCACCTGAGCAACACAGTTTACAGTTTAAATACAGCATCGTAGCTGAGTATTGTTGCTGACCATGTCCATCCCTTTATGGCCATAGTATACCATGTTCTAATGCTCTATCTACTCTGTCATCTGATGCTGTGTCAGTTTCTGCTGTGAAACCTTGTGTCACCATCATAGTTGTGGCAGCTGTGTGGTGGATCAAACCAAACCAAACCAAACCAAAAGGTCCCATTAGAGCCAGAAAAGACCACAAAACCAGGAATGATTTAGGGCGGGGCTACCTAGTGGTCAAAAAGTTGCTTCATGGTGACATCATGATGGCTACTTCCATCTTCTTTATTCAGTTCATGGTGAAGGGAAAAAAAGAGTAGGAATCAGGAGTGAAGTCATGACCGTAATAAGTGGTGATAACTCTGGTAAACTGTCTGCTCTGAGAGGATGATGAGTGTATCACGGCGGCACTCGCTGTTAAATTTAGTTTGGCTCCATATTTACACTTTAGATGTGAGCTGCTGTTTTCCTCTCGTGATATCTGAGCTGGACGCAGATATTTTCAGACTCACGGTGAGTCTTTATTCCTGTCTTGTGTTTTTATAGTAAGTCTCTAAACGTGACACACAGGAAATACGCCTGATGCCACACATTTAAACTCAAAACACTACTTTCATGTTTTCACACACATGTTCAACGAGCCCACGATTCCACAGCATGAATGCAGTGAGCCACTGTGTCACTTGTCACTTTTTAATCCACTCAACCCACTAGAATCATCACTGTGGACATTTTTTGTGTATAAAGACTATAGACTATGTACAGCCACAGCGAGCACATTTTAGGCTGATGTTCAACACAGTTGGACTAAAACCAGCAGCTCTTATAAAGCTGTAACTGCACACATCTGTATGTGATTATTGCAGAGCTGATCTTGGGTTTCACTCTGGGTCAAGTTCAGCTTGTTTCACGTAGAAGCAGACTGTGCTCAGCAGGGGGCGCTGCTGTTTACGTCAATAAATCTCTTCAGTTTGTTTTATTCTTCAAAAACGCAGCATGGAATTTTTCTTCCTCTCTCGCTTGCTTCAGTTTGCCGCGCCTCCATTTGGCAGCCAATGGAATTGCAAGAAGCAGCAACACCTCATTCAATTAACTGTAAACACCTAACCTCCATTGTAGATACCATTAATTGTCATTAATCATTATCACAGAGTCTATTGTATTTTCAGATATGATATGTATTTCCAAACTGAAGTAAACTTTGATGTTTTTTATTTATGCTTTGTTGTTTAAATGTCATGCAGTGATTTGATTCGCTGTCTGATGGTGATGTCATGTCCCTCCTCAGGGTGTCTCTCCAGGTTTGAGGACTCTAAAAATACCCGGCGGTGTCAGAGCGGCTGTGGAGCCCCGGGTCCGGCTGTCGGGGTGGGGTAGATGGGGGTGTCCTGGTTGGGGGTGTCCAGCGTGTCTCCACCCCCCTGTTCCGCGCCGACCAATGATCTGCGGTCTCGGTGTCCTGCGAGCCGCAGGATGCCCGGGCCGCAGTAGTATATGGTCATGGCAGGGGCATTCCTGGGAGTCCTGCGCAGTGACGCCGAGCCTTTAAACCTCGCTTCACGCTCCCGCAGCTGCACAGCCCCACTCTGTCCACGACGCCACCCGCGTGTGACCACAGCCAAGCCAGCCGGAGGACAAAAGCAGACTATTATTCACTCTTCCTCCTGAGCCTCCTCTTTCTCTGAGAGTGTGAGCCACAGGAGTGACCTCGGGTCTGCATGCGCGCCTCTTTACGCACAGCTCCGTGAAGCTCCCTCCCCGCGCGCTGGGCACTGCCCCTCCGCTTCCACTGCCCCGTTTCTCTTTTTTTTCTGCCTTTCCTTCTCTTCCCACTGCGCTCGGTGCTATAAAAGGCATGTCCATGATGAGCAACAACAGCTACTTGGAGCCCCAGCAGTTCTACCAGAGCACCGCGGACATCGGCGAGGAGGAGGAGGAGATGCCGGCCACCGAGAAGGACCTGGCCGAGGACGCCCCGTGGAAGAAGATCCAGCAGAACACCTTCACTAGGTGGTGCAACGAGCACCTGAAGGTGATCAACAAACGCATCAACGACCTGCAGAAGGACCTAAGCGATGGGCTAAAGTTAATAGGGCTGCTGGAGGTGCTAAGCCAGAAAAAGATGTACCGGAAGTACCACAGCAGACCCAACTTCAGGCAGATGAAGCTGGAGAACGTGTCCGTGGCGCTGGAGTTCCTGGAAAGGGAGCACATCAAATTGGTCTCCATCGGTGAGTGCGTAAAACCGAGACAGAGGCGCGTTTGGAGAGTTTTTACGCAAAGTTTACGCACGGTGTGTATTTGTATGTGTGTGTGTGTGAGAGAGAGAGAGACCTGGAAACAGTCAGCCTAACTGCTGGTTTCTTTCATAAAAGGGGTTTTTACAAAGGTAATCACGTGTGGCATCGGTTTGTGACTGACAGGTCACAGGTGTGGCTCACAGGTGTGTGGAGATCCAGGTGTTCACAGCTGTTCAGTGCGTACAGTTTCATCAGTGGATTCATTCAAAGAGTTTCTTATTTTTAAGGATAAAAAGTCAGAATTATTAAAGCCTGCTTTTAAATTTCACCCAAGTACAGAGTATGTGATTTTTGCAAAAGGTCTCGGGAGGGCTCAGAGAAACTTGTTGAAACTTGAACCCTTCAAGAAATCCAAAAGTGTTTGGAACCCTCCAGAAGGACGTAAATCGGACTGCAGATGTCTTGGAGTGGATGTGAATGATGAGTGGCCAAGGTGTTACAGGGTTTTATAAATCCTGAAGAAGTACAACTTTACTGCTCAGTCTGCAGACATGAAGTCCATGCTACTTAGTACAGCATTAAAAAACTAGTATAGATGAAGTTAAATGCACTAATCTGACTAAAGGACAGTATTTGCAGACACAGTGTGTTTGTGTTGCTGAATTCATTGTGCAGTGGTGTGTTGGAGTCTGTGTGCCATGGTTTTCAGTGTTTATGTGAAGGTTTAGTTGTTAACAGACTCCTGTTGAGAGTAATTGTTCCCACTTCAGTCTGTCTGTAACTGTGCAGGACACAAAGACTAAGCAGGCTTACCTTCATTAAATGAAACATAGGTAGTAACAGTAATAATAACTTTGTTCATATAGCATGATTTAAAAAAAAAAATCAAAGACAGATGATCAAAAACATAAATAGCAAAATCAAAGGGAGACCCTGAAATAAAAGACGATAAATGAGAGAGAGGAAAAATCCACACACCGAAGAAAAAATCACAGCCAACAATTCTTCTTACATTCAATATCAGGATTAAACTGGGTTTAGACTGAGCTTGTCACAGTAACTGTCAGCTGGAAATCAATGCTTTAATTAAAGAAAATCACTTTTTGTAATTATGTCACATTTATTATAACTTAAGGAAAAACATGTTTCATTTTCATTCATTGAGCAGTTTTTCAGTTTCGGGCTTTTGAATGTTTCTTGTATCGGATTAACAGAAAATACCCAGCTGTGTATTTAACTTGTGGACATCTGTCATATATTCATGGAAATAATATTAAAATATTTAAAGAAAAATACTGACATCACTAACGAGACATGGTGGTTAAGGCTAAAGGTGAAAGTTTTCCTCTGTCCAGCTGTGCGCTCAGCTCTGGAGATAAGTTTGTTTTCATGTGTTGTAGTTTTACTTTTGTTGAGGGTCTAACAGGACAAACTGAAGCTTGAGCTGCTGTTGATGAGTCTGTTGTTGAGTCTGCAGCTGATGGGGGGGCTGTTGGGGGGCTGCGAGGCCTGGAGGGCGCAGTTACTTGTTGGGGTTTTATGGGGTGGAGGGGGTGGAGGAGCAGTGTGAGTAGGAGTTGATTGATAGCAGCACAGCTGAGCTCTGCTGTCCCTCAGCCAACAGCTGCTGAAAATAGACCCAGAGAATGCAGGGCCTCGCTAACCTGCTGAGGGGCCCGGGGGCAGAGACATGCTGAGGGCTCCTCAGGACCCCCTTATGCAGGGCAACATTTAATTAAACTTTGTTAATAAAATGCATATGCTTTTCTATTATTTTATAATAATTTTATATATATATATATATATATATATAGATAGATAGATAGATAGATAGATAGATAGATAGATAGATAGATAGATAGATAGATAGATAGATAGATAGATAGCTAATATATGTGAGTTGCTTGTTGTGTCTGATACACAGATATTTGATGTGTGACAGGATGTGATCTGTAACCTGATTGGCTTGTTTCCAAACCTGAGGGGTGGGTGTATAAATGGTTAATGTGGTGTTTGTGTAGCTGAGGCTGCTGAGCTGAACTGCGCGTTTTCTCTAACCTGGATTCTTTCAGCCAAACTCCATTCAAATATCGGCTAATTTTACCTCCATGCCTCTCTGGCTGTGTCTCTGTAATAGTTGCCATGTGTTGCAGCAGTCAGCACACAGGAATGTTAAACTAAGGCCAGGACACCCCGCCCCTCCCTCCCCTCATAGTAACTCACTACACGCTGCTGATTTCTGATCCTTGTTTCACATTAACTTCCTGTTACAGCTGAGGATATCCTACCTGACTGTGAGGTCACAGGTTAGACTGTACCTGTGCAGCGTTTATGTGAAAACTGTGATACCGAGTCTGTGTGTGGCAGCAATTCAGAGGTCAAAGGTCGGGTGGAATAGGAGACGAAGAGAGGTTCAATGTGGAGATGGTCATTTGTGGGAGAGGAAGTGTGAGTGTGGTATTGCCTCTCTTTTTAGGACGTACTGGGAGCTTCACTTTGTCACACTGTCGGCTTCATTAAGACCAAAATAACGAAGTCGAGTCTGAGCCTTTCTTGTGTGGGGGTGACATCCTGCTGTCCTGAACCTTCAACCAGGATATAATAGTGAGAGTAAAAAGTCATACTAAAGAAAAACTCAAAGCTCCCAGCGGGACTCGAACCATGACCTCCAAAGAAGGGCTCCTTCCAAGCTCCTGATGAGGACGTCACAGGCTGTTATATAAGACACCCTCGTACTGTCCTGATCCTCCCTGCTGAACACTTCCTGTCAGGCACCGGCAAACACGAAACTAATGAGGAGGCTGTGGTCACGCCCCGTTTGGACTTTTATGTTTGCACTTTTTTTCTTTTGTTATGAGCTTGTTGGGTTTAGATGGTTTAAACTGCACCAGTAACCCACCTCTTTGAAACTGTGGTGTGTTTGCACCTTCCTTCTCTCAGAGCTCCTGGAAACCTCAGAATCAATCTGTTATGAGTCAGCGGGACAGCTTTCATTAACGATGGCTCAGCATCTCTAAGTATCACTGAGGCAGCGTGACACCAGCTGGATGCTGGAAACTACATGAAGGGTCCAGCTTAACCAGATTAAAGTGAGCTTGTTTGGTCATTTCCAGATGTGGGAGTGTATTTAAGCCACTATTGGAGACAGATGTTTCAGTGCTGGGCGTCTACATGCTAGTTGGTCTTTGTTCCCTCTGAGCCTCACTGGGTATTTGTGAAGTTTGAGAGGAACAGCTGCACAAACAGCAGAAATCACCTCAAAACAGTTTAAACTAGCTGAGGGTGATGTGGGGGAGTAGGAGCCCATTACCAGATGAGCTAATAAGCAAAACTGGAGATGGTGGGGAGGAAGAACACCCTTTAAACTGGAAAACAGGAGGAGGATCAAGGAGGAGTACCTAACAATAAGATCAGCAAAATTTCAAATGGACTGCAGGGAAAGAATGAGATTTTTCAAAGCCCCGGACTTCCCCTGTGTGTGTGTGTGTGTGTGTGTGAGTGTGTGTGTGTGTGTGTGTGTGTGTGTGTGTGTGTGTGTGTGTTTGAGGGAAGAGAGATAGAGAGATCTGGTGTGATCTGCTGACTGTCACACTGTAGACTCTGCAGTAACGTCCAGTTTGAGTCTGAACAACAAAGACTCACTTTAGTTACTGCCCCCCCCAGACAGAGACCAACCACATGACAAGAGGGTGAGGGTGTGTGTGTGTTTGTGTGCATGTGTGTGTCAGCTGTCGCCACAGCTGTTGTGAAGCATTTGAAGCAGCAGCCGGAGCCTGAGCACAACGAGGGGAATGATGTGTTCAGGCTCCAGCTGACAGAGTTATTATAAGTTATTGATTAGTGTGTGGTGTGTTGTGTGTGCAAGATCTGGGGTATCTAACAATATCTAACAGTGGTACATTGGCTTTGCAGAGCTACATCCCTAAAAAATCAGACAGACTGAGAAAAGTTCCACGCTGGAGAGATTTGATCTCTCGGCTGGTTTGTGAACGCCTCCATGCTCATTGTCGTTGGAGGAGGAGGCTGGGCTTCTCTGCTTAGACTGCTGCCACTAGGATAAGAGAATAAGATGGATATATATGTGTGTGTGTGTATGTGTGTGTGTGTATACATACATATGTATATGTACATACATGTAGTAATGTGAAAAAATGCTTTAAACAAAGAATGCTTTCAGAAATATGAACGCTTGTTTATTTGCCCCAAATTTAGCCAAGCCAAAGTCATTAAGAATTATCTTAAGTGTAAAGAAGAACAAGAAGTACTGGAAGTAATGGCATGGTCCCCACAGAGCCCTGATCTCAACGTCATCGAGTGTGTCTGGGATTATATGAAGAGACAGAAGGATGTGAGGAAGCCAACATCCACAGAAGATCTGTGGTCAGTTCTCCAAGATGTTTGGCACAACCTACCAGCCGAGTTTCTTTAAAAACTGTGTGCAAGTGTACCTAGAAGAATTGATGCTGTTATGAAGCCAAAGCGTGGTCATACCAAATATTGATTTGATTTAGATTTCTCTTTTGTTTATTCACTGCATTTTGTTGATTGGTGAAAATAAATGATTAACACTTCCTTTTCTGAAAGCATTTTTTCTCTCATCTCCGTTCTTCCTCCTGATCGCCTCTCAGATCAGCACATTTCTCTTTGACCCACCTGTTTCTTTTGACCCTCACCTGCACTATAATCCAGTGGAGGGTGTCTTAAGTTGTGGAATCTCACATGAAATCACGGCTTTATTCATATCAGCTCCAAACAGCCTCTGAGCCGTCTCACGTGTCGGGTTTCTCTGGGTGGTGTTGTCAGAAGGAAGGCGCCTTGATGAGGATGACACCGGAGCGCCACTGCTACACGAGGATATACCTCACATCTATCACGCCATCTGACAAACGGATCCCGGCTCCTGCCAAGTGTCCCTGCTGAGGGACACCTCCCTGTGGAGCCAGGGACACTTGGCAGGATTTCGGGTGCCTGAAGTTTGCCTGTCAGGGTGA